ATCCTGAGCTGTAGGAATGCAGTATTTGGTGATCTGTGGTCACTTCTTTTCCAATTCCAGTCTATGGGAGCCAGGGCTTTGTGGAGCCAGCAGCTAGTGGATGTAGTGATATTGCAGGTTTTTGACACTTCCGGGTTGGCTTCATTTTTCAGGGCCGGTTGCTACGTCCATCTTTTATACAGTCTATGGCAACAACCAGGCTACAATAACCACAAAAACGGGACTAGTGGTTACTGTGCTGCCTGATGCTCATCCAGGAAGAACAAACACGACTAGAAATAACAGGGAAATCAAAAAAAATTAGACGTATGTTTGTGTGTAGAGGGCAGAGATGTGTAGCAGTGGTAAAAAATAACCCGTACATTTTCAAAGCACTCACCTGACTGTATGTTCTCTTTGTCAGCTGAAGCAGTTCAAGGCCGACTACGCTAATGTCGGTTTCGGCTCCGGGACTCTGGCGCTGGATCAGTCCATCGAGAGAACCATCGCCAACATGAAATGGATCGAAGACAACAAGCCGAATGTTCTGGACTGGTTCACAACTAACTCTAAACCCTAATGAAGAGTTTACTTGCTCGTCGTGTAATTTAGAAATGTTATTTTTTCATTAATGTAAATCCTTCTTGGAGGAAGATTTTACCCATGAGTGTTTACGGTACTAAGAAAATGAGTTTTATATCAAATGTTCACCTTTAGCATAAATTAGGACCTAAATTAGCTGCTGAGCTTTACTTGTGCTGCAGTTTATTTGAAACTGAGTTGAAAAGTACAATATATAGAACTTTCAACAATTTCCCTGAGGTTCTACCAAAGGGATCAGTAAAGTTCTGTCTGTCTATATTTTGAATCCCTGAAAGCAGAAACATAAGTAACATTAAAACTTGATACTTTAATTCAATCAGAGCGCCAGAGAGGACATGTTTATGTTGTTTTATACTTTTTAAAACTGGTTTTTAATATAGATTTACAATTTCATGGTTATAAGAAAGGAGGTCCTTGTAAATGGGGATTTTTTAGGTTTTCGTATAACACTGGGATAGTTATTTAGTGATGTCAGAGGAAAAACAGAAGTCCTCGCTGGCCTCTAATTGTATCAGCTTCTATTGTTTGTGTTTGTCCATATTTACTATTGAGCTCCTGAAGTGGCAACTTTAGGGCTCAAATTCAAGAATTAATGTTTACTGCATTTCTTGTCTTGCCACAAAATAATTTATGATAAAACTGGATTGTTAATGAGGACATTCCTTTATTTATTGTTCAGATTTGCTCTGGTTATGACGGCTTTTTGCTCTGAAACCAGTGTTTTTTTTATTCTGTCGCCACCTTTAAATGGACAAAAGAAAAGGAATACCAGAAAGTCAAGGTGTGACGGTGTTTTCCAGCGATATAGAATACTCACATGAAACAGCTTCAAAAGCTTTGGTGCAGTTTTATGAATGGGATGTAAAGTTAATATGTGCACTTTTAAATTTATATACTTTTTTTTTTTTAGGAAAAAGTATTCTTTGTCTGTGAGATACTGCTGTGCTGTGCAAAAATGTAAAAAGTGAAGTTGACTATAAAATTGTACGTACATGCTGACACTGGATATTTTTTGGATATTTGAAGGAAACAATTTTACTTCATTCTGAAAAAGTAAATTAAAACCTTTCTAAATAACTTTCTGTTGTGCTCTGCTTGTCTGAACATAGAATATTACAAATATATTATAGTTTCTTAAACCACATTTTAGTCTACATGGATTCTATTTCTGTGTAAATTTAGGGTTTTTGTACATCCAGACCCTTTATTTCATGTCCTGGTATTTGTTTTATTCATAAAAGCATATGCTGCAATAATATGTAGATATATATTTGCCACAGAAAGATAACTACAGAGCTGAAATCATACAAGGACATAATAAAGGCGTTGGGCCGAACCACGTCTGGTGAACGGGACAGGTGTGTGCAGTTATTTGTAGCTTGGCTGTTTATCAGCAGAGGCGATCAATGTGTATATTATCGAAGTCATAACTCGTATTTTTGTGTGCAATGCCACCTACGGTTTTTACTTCTAATTTGTCAATAAAGTTTTTGTGTCCGCCTAGAAGCCGTAGAAGAAGATGGCCCAGAACTCATTTGTCAATAAAGTTTTTGTGTCCGCCTAGAAGCNCCTCAGATAGGAACATGGTTTGATGTTTGAGTGATTGTTCTGTGATTCTGACAAACATAACCAGTTATTCTATTAAAGCTTGAGATTAAATGGCATGGGGATGTTGGTGGAAAAGTCAGGAAAGACTTATGGCAGATGCCGACTGGGTGACAAGGGATTTTTCTCTACATATAACAGAATCTGTGCAATATCACTATTTTCACTATTAGTATGATTTATTATTGGAAGAATCTGTGTATTACCAATGTTTTTCTACATCCAGAACATTGTTGTTTTCCACTTTCAAAGGAATCTGTGCAGTATCTATCTATATTTTAGATTTTTCTACCGATGACCCTTCACATTTTACACTGCCCCCTTTGATGCTGTAGCACTGCAAATTTGCCCACTATGGTGTTGTTAAAAGCTCATCTTATCTGAAATAACTTAATTTATTATAAAATAATGTACATGTTTGTTGCACTCACAGTGAAAGGCAGGTTTGAATTAGTCAGAAATGGAAAATTTTACAGGTCATTGGTGGTTGCTGTGAACTGATGATGATGATGATGATGATGATCTGTGGCTTTGTTTCCTCTCAGGTACGGTGGTGGATCGTTCTCCTTCTCCAACCTCATCAATGGCGTTACCGAACGCTTTTCCACCCAATTCGAGCTTGACCAGGTTTGATACTTTCTTTGTTTTGGTTTATTTTGTTATGCTACTAAGTTGTAGAAACTGAAGGTGTGGCCACATTTCCAGACCTGACACATTAGAACTGGTTTAAGTTATGAACTGAAGCAAGTTCTTTTTTTTCCAGTCGTTTGATGCAACATGGATTTTGTTTAAATTCAGTGGAACCACAAATAACTGACCATTCGCTACCCCGATCACAGCAGTTTTGACTGTGCGGTGTTGTATTTCACAGTCTGACCTGATGGTGACAGTGTTGCGTTATCGCTACGCTGCCTAAATCCAGACACAATGATACAGAAGTTTGTCTCATCATTGTTGCATTAACATGATGCTGCAGCACCTGAGAGTCGGATTTGCGGCAGAACGACATTGTCTTTGATATTGGAGGGCTTTGATGATAAAAACTGTGCAGATGAAGATGTTAGTTTTAATGATTTAAAGAATTTTTTAGCAGAACCAGAGCATGATGATGACTGAGACTGCATCCAGTGATCCAGTAATAGTTCCTTTAAGTGCTATCAACACACCAGCAGTTTTTTCTTACTTCTCAGAAAACGTCAACCTCCAGCTGCAGTTAAGGAAAAAGGACTTCCTAAAGCTGATCGAGGCTCTAAAAGTCATGAATCTCGACTTTATGCAACAACCA